ATCTGCTAAAGTGATAAATCTTGTGTCTAACAAGGAGAGTTCATCGTCGCCAAACGTTGTTGTTACATACTGTGTCTCTGACAACGACACTATATTTATGTCGAATGCTGATGTCAAATATAATGTTTCTGACAATGACACTTTACCGCCGTCTCCTGGTGATGCATCATGTGTTTCTAACTGCGATAAAGATGTAAAGACAGCCACATATTCAGTGGGGGGCGATGGATCGAAGCTTGCTGCTAAACTTGACGTTGCTGAAAGACAAAGTGTACGTTAAATCAAATAGTCAAGTTTAACAAAAGCCTGAGAGTATTGACTGCTGGAGGAGACAATGGCTAGGGCATCTGACAGATGTTAAATCTTAAAATAATTAAACAAATGCAATGAGTACTTTATGTATAAACACGGTAGACGTCGTGGTGTAGCGGCTAGACGCTTGCCTGTGGATCTGAACCTTGTGTGTGTTAAATCCGAACACAGCTGCACTTTTTTAGAATGAGGGATCCAGGTCTCAAATGGGTAGCAGCTATATTCATGGGAAGTAAAGTTTGCCGGCGTGATGTTGACCACATCAGACACCAAGTGCGGAATTGCCGAATTGCACCGTTTGTCCAGTACGCCTGAAGTCGTGGGAAATAGTTGTATACATTTTTTTAATGTTTTGTCTTGTTTATTTTAATCTTTTCCACCTTTTCCGCCGACAGTGTTAAACTATGCTCTAGGAAGAGTAGAAATCACATGACATTGCTATGGAAAAAAGTTATCAGTTGGAGTTCCAACTTCATCTAAATTAGGTCACCCCATAATTAACCTACTTCTGTTTTAGTAAAAAACCACACAAAAGGGCCATCGCTACCTAATGTGAAATTTAAAAAGACAGCAGTCCTGGTGGAGTCCAGCAGCATGCACAAGCATCAAATGCATAAAGCAACAAACAGACCTGCCAACGCTTACAGTATGTCACTAGAATTGCTATTCGTAGTTGATAGAAGCAGCCGTCACGTCAAACCAGCAAGTGCGCACTATTACTGAAAAAGGCACACTGCCACTTTTTGGGGCAACCAGCAACTTACGAATACACATTTGGCCACACATCTTCAGGAGCACAGACAAAAAGCATTCTGCATGAAATTCACAGCTCACAGTGTCGTACCGCGCACTCATATCAGTAACTGGTCGATGAAATCGAATTTCGCCTTTACCTCGTTTGTTGTCCTGACCAGTTTTTCGCTGGAAATTGAATCTTCCACTGGATTACTGGGGAGAAGGAATCAACAACAGGAAGGCAAGAAAAGCTTGAATAAGAGGCGCTAAGAGACATAGGAGTCTTGTATTGCTCCTTTAGGACCTCCATGGTGACAGAAAGATAACACCAGGGATACAGTTCCTGCTTAAGATACGATACAATCTGGACTGTATTGAAGAGATCATGTTGTGCCCACGCAGGACGTTCCCTCTCTCCATCAATCTTGTTTACTGCAAAGAAAATGTAATATTAATGCATTGTGTAGGTATCGATACTCTACAAAAACAGTATCGCACGACACGATCGTTCTTATTGGTTATGAAAATCGAAATTATAGAATAACGCAAGAAGCGACTGACGAAATCGTGTGCTACCAAATTCATCCTCCTGTAGAAAGTTCTAGCTGAAAATTCCAAGCAATGATAAAAAGGGGTATAAAATAACTTGGCATGAAACGCTGAAAGCTCATACTTCATTGGTGCTGACAGAAGGTCGACAGTGCAAGTGTCTCCAGCAGTGATTAATTCACTACTCTAAACTTTCGGGTAAAAAAAATGAACACATACAACCAAATATTTTGACTGAAAAAAAAAACCTTGTATCCGATACGTGTTTTGTTTAGTGGTTTAGTTACAAGACGATTATTCAGCAGCTTTACGGAGGCAGAGACACAGGACCTATCAGTGTGCTGATTTGTCTCATCAGTTAAGAGTTAAAAACCTACACCAAACCGTTAGAGTAAACAATAAACGCGTCGTCCTTATCTTCAGCAGCCAGCACAGTTCCAAGATTAATGGTGAGGCTGTAATCTGATTATATGTTCCTCTTACTTTTCCTATAAGCATCTACTGTGCTCAGGATTCGTAATCTCTTTCAGTTTCATTGTCATCATTTTTTCTAGACCAGTGTTCTTCAAGCCATGGGCCGCGGCACACGATAAGCCGCGAAAAAGACCAAGTGGATCGTCAAAACAAGTCTCGTTATTCATGTTACTGGGTATGGTAGATAGGGTTTTCTCTTCCAGTCTGTAGAATTAAAACCCCAAGGTCTTCCTATTTGTGTGAAAAGACTTACAAAGTCCTGTCAATAACAAAATCCAAACGGAGAAATCGAACTGATGTTTTTGTACCGCTTCGCTTTTCAGAAACAACGCTCAAGCCACAAATATGCAGCTTTTTATATCCTCTACTCTGCAGCAGATGTCGCATTCGCTGAAAATCGTAATTTTATCAGATCAGATCTAACTGCTGTCTACATCTGTTTTTGTTTTGTGTTTGGTCAACTGTTGTGTAGGCCACAAGACAGGGGCCACTGTTTTGTGTTTGGTCAGCTGTCATGTGGACCACGAGACAGGAGCCACTGTTTTGTGTTTGGTCAACTGTTGTGTAGGCCACGAGACAGTATCCTCTGTTCTGTGTTTAGTCAGCTGTCACGTGGGCCACTAGACATTATCCACTGTTTTGTGTTTGGTCAGCTGTCGGGTAGGCCGCGGGACAGTATTCACTATTTTGTGTTTGGTCAGCTGTGGGGTGGGCCGCGGTACAGTATTCACTCTTTTGGTAGGCAAGGATGTAAAATAGTTGAAAAACACTTTCTGGCTCTGGTGATCTGTCAGCTCTTTCGCGATGTTCAAGTGCTTCCAAGACACCATCACCACATCCGCCTTCTCTTGCAAATAATTCACCATTCAGGAATAAATTAAAACTAACCTATAATACATGGTGTGATACGTAGTCCAGTAGACTTAGCTCTAATGTCTGTACTACCCAAACCCACACACCCACCTACCCACCCACACACAAACACACATATATATATAAATGACAAATATGTCGAGTCTCTATACAGACCTGGCGGTGACGAGCAGTCTTCGTTTTCCATGCCGTCTCCGTCTAAGTCTGAAATAAATGTTAGAATTATGAATATATAACAGTTGTAGGGGTGTTGTTGGTGGGAGAAACTGTGCGTCTGGTAATAATAGCATAGAAAATCGAGGTGAAGTCAATAAGTAAGTCACAAATGGTGGTTTAAAAAAAAAATTGAAAGACGATAATAACCTGAAAAAATAAAATCAAAGGGGCGTAACAATTTTATCTTAGGTGTAAAATACAATTTACAATAATTACCACCCTTATTCGGGTTCCATTTCAGTTGCAGGCGATTTGCTGCTAGTCTGCTCTGCCTTGATGTTGAATATAGTTTGAGGGTCGACTGAAAACGACGTTATGGCAAACTCATCATCATATAGCAAGCACTTAGCAGAACGTCGCTCTCATTACTGCCTGCCTAATGGAAGCCCAGACTCTCGCCAGCTCTCTCTTATGCTTTCATATTTAAGAAGTCACTCATATCTTGTGCCTATCTTCGTGTTGGTCGGTCCCTGCCCCTTTATCCTGGTGCTATGCCTTCTGATATCATTTTTTCCCTGTCCGCTATCGCCAACTACTGAACATAAATAAACTTACCCAGTAAAGCTACGAACAGCAAACAAATGCTCAGTGAGTGAAGTTCAACCCTACCAGGACCGCATAACCAGAGATAAACACCTGGTGACCCGAATGAACACAATCCAGAATCAAATAAGATCGCGACCAGAAAACGTCACCACAAATATAGCTGAAAGGAAAGTGAGCAGAAATGTGAACGGACCTAGCTGAAAGTGGTCAAAGAAAGAGAATTTGAATTTGAATTGGTGACCCGAAGTGCCTCTATTCAGATCAGAAGAACCCGGGTACAAGTCACACAAACCTATTTAACCGTTTAGTTATATTAGGGCCCCCGACTACAGCCGGGGTGGGGCTTTATAAAAAGCGTCGCGTGTTGGGACTGAGTAAGATATTGGTTTGCTACAACTGTCAAGGATACGCAGCCAACATTTTAACAATCCCTGTTAAGTTGTTCAATGATTATTTAATATTATTATTCGTGTCAGTTACAGTGTTTCTCAACCTGTTTTTGTGTGCTATGCCCCCACTTAGGCCTTTTAAAAATGATTGCGCCCACTCCTCCTCTCCCCCATATAACTTAACTCTGGGCTAGTCCATTTTTGAATGGCCCTAACAATCAAGTTCCCCCCTCCACCGGTTTTTTTTTTTTTTTTTTTTTTTTGGGGGGGGGGGGGGGGTGACGTGGGATTCATTTTGAGAAACACTGTGTTAGATTAATATCAATATAGCGTATCTTTTATGTGCATCTGAAACATGGACCAGAATAATAAAAGCCCAAGAACACTTGCTGGGCAGTTATAAAAAAAAAAAAACATGCAATTACCAGAGAGCTTCAAAAAAAAAAAAAAAAAAAAAAAAAAACGTTGAAAGTGTGATAGAAGTTACAATAATCAGGCCATTGTCATGTAACCTGCAAATTTTGTTGCTAAAGATGTCAAGGGTATTGAGCACGTGTCATCGTGATGCAGACGAACACGGTGATTTCATTATGACATTTTAAAGATGGTCGCCCCACTTTAACATTCACCAAAGAGGAGCAGGGTTCTGTTATCCGTATTTTGACCAGTGAAAGGGGTGAAACCTATAGAAATGTCTTAGTGAATGATCCTGTATAGTGGAGCATGTCTATCAGTCCAGCAAGTTTGTGAGTAGAGTAGGAAGTTTCAAAATGGCGTGACTTCTGTGACGGTCTGTTCACGATCGGATCTGTAGTCACATCGAGAAGTGACCGAGGAGTCGATGGCAGCCGTTTTAAAACTTCCTGCTTCACTCAGTTTAACGTGAGTACAAGAATGAACAGTCACCTGTAGCTAGCTCTGCCGGATCACATGGTTCTTCATCAATCTGTCCATCACAGTCGTTATCTTTGTTGTCGCCAGGGACACCTTTGCTGAGCACGCACACCTTGATAAACGAAAACAGTTCAATAAATGATACATTTGGACACATTCATGCAATGTACTTCAATTTCATTATGTTGCGCCGTTATTCGTCCCACTTGGCTTTTAGTCTAGTACTTCATTTCGTACTATTCTGGCGCAATCTTTTCTATATTGTCGATAGAATACAATCTAGGAATGGTGATCTTTCTCAACAATTTTCGTCCTAAGGTTTTTCCTGGATGTCCTCGTTTCCTCAATCCATTTACTTCTCATTGCAGTGCATGTTTTTAGATTCTCTGCTTTTCCTCATGGTGTTCCCAATATGTTGTCAATATACATACACGCAGGCACATACTACCACGCACATAGGCACAGAGCGATAGACAGACAGACAGACAGACATTATCTTACGTTAATCAGATTTTTTTAAAGACGTTATTTTGGCTTTTAGACGGTGTCTGGACAATAGTTATCAGACAGAGAAGATGACGAGAGAAAGTTGGTGAGAGAAGTCAAAAGACTGGACTGGGTGCAATCCATGATATCGAAGTGATTGCTGGACACAACGGAATGGAGAACAATAATGCCAGCCCATTATGACATGTAGTAGAACAATAGGACATTTAATGAATAAAAGAGAGTTGCACCCTGGAAGAGACTCCACCCTCACTTCGTAATATTCCGATAGCTAGCAGTGCATACATTGCCGCCAACATCAATTGTCGAGATGGCACAGTTTAGCTTAGTAATTCGTACGGACTGGAATGGTTATCTGGTCAGAACGGAACAAAATCAGCAGGCTTCAAGGCAAGAGGCTTACCATGAAAGAGATGGACGGAGGAAGAAAAGAGGCACTACAGAAATACAATAGGAAATTATTACAAGTTATCAAAATAGTAAGGGAGTCACCGTGGGGTAGCAGATAGACGCTCGCGTGAGGATCGGAATGTCGTGGGTTCACTCCCTGGCGGGGCCGGACATTTTCAACAATGACCTTGACTCCCAGGTCAACCCAACCTTGAGTGGGTACTGTATGCAGTCCTGGGAAATAAAGGCAACCGGCGTGATGCTGACCACATCACCCATCTCGTGCCGATTGGTGTATAAAAATATAGGTCTAGCCCTATATGCCCTATATACCTAAAATCGTGGAAAAGGGGCCTTTCCTTTACTATACAAATACTAAAAGACAAAAAAATTACATACAATGACACTAGAAGTATGACAAAAACGAGAAGTAATTGGCTAACAATCTATAGAGACATGTCATTTACCGAGTTGATTTTAGTCATGGCGTAAGCAAGCCGGAAGAGACCCGCCATCAGATTGCCACTTGAGTAGACATGGCCGCCAAAACTGCTGTTAGATGAGACTCGCAGAAAGTCTTCACTGACGATACTGCTAGCGAAGAAACTGGCATTGAGGGTAGTCGCTAGAGTCAGGGCAGTCGACTTGTTGTTGACCATCACCGCATTTTCCTGGGCCTTCGTGTGACTGGCATATACAAATAGAGACAGTAATGTGTGTTTGAGTTCAGGAATAGAGAATAGAAGATAGACAAAGAGGCAGACATACTGTTTGATTAACTAGTGGACAGGTAAACGTGTACAAAAGCAGAAGGGACATATATATATATATATATATATATATATATATATATATATATATATATATATATATATATATATATATATATATATATATACTAGCTGTGCCCTGCCACGCTTTGCTGTGGCCCCGAATGGTGAAATAGAAAAGAAAGAAAGTAGCTCTCAACTTACAGTGTCTGTCATAACCCTCAACCCCCGTCCCTCTCTGTAAACCACAACACAACGTTCCAACCGCCCTCTCAAAGGCGAACGAAGATTACACGTAACATGACCAACATCTCGTCGCCGCTATTGCAGGCAATCTGTAAACCCCCAAATCGAGCGGAAAGAAGACGTAGATATCGCAGCCTAGCTGTAAACCACAACAAAAAGTGCCAGGGGCTTAGTTAAAGGCAAAAGAAAATTTTTTATTACCAAACGGGGCAGTGATCGCCAGTCACCCACGAAACACGCAAAATAGACAACTACGCTACCAAGGACTCAAGCATCTGCCCAATGATATCTCCCTCTCCGAATGATTGAAACATTATTATGTGGCGACATTGTTAAAAAAAAATTAGTCAAGAAATGAGAAATGTAAAAATATGTTTTAAGCTCTCTAAGTTGACAATGTCTGGCATCAACTTCCCTCGACAGAAAAAAAATGTACACTATACTCACAAATAGCGGAAATAAAAACCCGCACTCGTCATCTCTCCCTTTCCGAAGTGAGGATGTGTAATTAACCTTGGCATCCGCGTCGACGTTAACCAAACTGGACCGTAAGCCTTCTTAGTTAACAGTGTCTATTATTAACGAATAGTTTTTGATCGAGTGAAGCGTCGGGGGGGGGGGTGGGGGGGGGGGAGTCTAATGTGGACTGTACTTAAATAGGATGTCTTAGGGCGTAAGGCGCAGATGTCGCAACTTAGCTTTAAACCACAACACAACCTGCCAATCGCCCCTTTGGGGTAAAAAGACAAATTGCTACCCACCGGGGAATCGAACACCTGTTATACACGTGAAGGCGGAATACTTACAACTCTACTACCTAACACGGAAGACTTTAGGTCAGATATCGCAGCCTAGCTGTAAACCACAACACAACGTGCCAACCGCCTTCGAACGAATATTAACCGTGACATGAACATTGAGCATCACGTCGCCGCTATCACAGGCTAGCTGTAAACCCCAAAATCGAACAGAAAAAAAGCGTAGATACTGCCAGTTAGGTGCCCAAAAAAAAATTATATCACCTAGCGGGGAATCGAAGCCCTATCACCCGAGTAAAAAAAGCGAAATGCTTACAACTAACTACGCTACAGAACTCTTAAACATTTAGTAGAAATGAAAGTATATAATAATAATGTGAAGGTCAGTGTTGCACAGTCAAAGGTGGCCAATTCCTTAAAAATAAATCCGGGCAGGCAACGAAACAAATAATGATTTGACCGTTGCTGGAGTACGTCGTTCGTGGTTTATGCGATTTTATGACAAAAAATAACGCTTTGAGTCAGAGGCAACGTTGTGTGAAAATGTGAAAGCAATCGGTTCAGTAGTTTCCGAGTTTAGAGCTAACGAAACCGGAAAATTAAATTTTTTATGAATATAGATATATAAATGACCGCACGGACGGACGGGCAGATGAGCATAAGGCAGACAGACAGATAGACAGACAGACAGATAACCAGACACAACGAACAAACATATTTTATTTTCAAATGATTACAGATAGATAGATAGATAGATAGATAGATAGATAGATAGATAGATAGATAGATAGATAGATAGATAGATAGATAGATAGATAGATAGATAGATAGATAGATAGATAGATAGATAGATAGATAGATAGATAGATAGATAGAGATAGATAGATAGATAGATAGATAGATAGATAGATAGATAGATAGATAGATAGATAGATAGATAGATAGATAGATAGATAGATAGATAGATAGATAGATAGATAGATAGATAGATAGATAGATAGATAGATAGATAGATAGATAGATAGATAGATAGATAGATAGATTGATAGATAGATAGATTGATAGATAGATAGATAGATGATCATTTATAAACCTACCCGGTACTTATCATCAAGTACATTGCGACACCATCAACGACAGGCACCGGCACCCGGTCGGTGCTGAGGTAGTGGTCCCGAGCAGTGACGATGCTGCCCGACAGGGCGATGGAGTTGACCTCCTGGGTCAGCTGCAGCACCAGGATCGGTTTGGTGGACTCCACGACACTGTACACCGCCAGGAGCTGGACAAGTAACAGAGACAGGTTCAGTTGTAACACACAGCCAGAGGGGGAATCAGCAGCAGAGCCATGTTAACTGTCTCAACATTAGGAAGCCCATGAAAGAGTAGCAGTCACGTTAACTGTCCCAACATGGGAAGTTCAAGAAAGAGTAGCAGTCACGTTAACTGTCTCAACATTAGGAAGCCCATCAAAGAGTAGCAGTCACGTTAACTGTCCCAACATAGGAAGTTCAAGAAAGAGTAGCAGTCACGTTAACTGTCCAAACATGGGAAGTTTAGGAAAGAGTAGCAGTCACGTTAACTGTCCCAACATAGGAAGTTCAAGAAAGAGTAGCAGTCACGTTAACTGTCCAAACATGGGAAGTTCAAGAAAGAGTAGCAGAAACATATTTATTGCGTCACATAGTTGGTCAATAAAGTTGGAGTAAACGACCTTCTTCGCGCCTCCAGGCGTGTGGGGTATATAGTGTTTAACTAATAGTGTGTAGACCAGTCAGTACTCGGAAAAGGGGGTGGGGGGAGGGAGGGGGGGGGGGGGGGGTTAATGTGGTGAACATCACACTGGCGACTTCACTTCCCAGGATTTTACCTTTATGGTTCCGGCGATCTAGTAACCAAGGTCTTTGAGAGGGGGGATAGGGGGGATGGGGGGGGGGGAATAGGGGGATAGGGGAGGGGATAGGGGGGAATAGGGGGATAGGGGAGGGGATAGGGGAGGGGGGATAGGGGAATAGGGGAGGGGATAGGGGGGAATAGGGGATAGAGGAGATAGGGGGATAGGGGGGATGGGGGATAGGGGGATAGGGGGGGGGTAGGGGTGGAATATGGGGGATAGGGGGATAGGGGGGAATAATGGGGAATAGGGGGATAGGGGGGTAGGGGGATGGGGAGGTAGGGGGGATTGGGGGATAGGGGGGATAGGGGGATAGAGGGGATAGGGGATAAGGGGATAGTGCGATAGAAGGATAGAAGAATAGGGGGATAGGGGGGATAGGGAGAGGACTCCTGCTAGGTTTGAATTTGAACCCTTCGGATCCGCAGGGCGGCTCCTCTCAAGGAGTCACAGAAATATATTATTTACCCCACATAGTTGGTCAGTGAAGGAGTGACAGAAAAATATTAATAGCCCCATATAGTTGGTCAGTGAAGGAGTGACAGAAATATATTATTTACCCCACAGAGTTGGTCAGCGAAGGAGTAACAGAAAAGTATTAATAGCCCCATATAGTAGATCCGTGAAGAGGTAGCAGAAACATTTTAATGGTTCCAAGATGGCTAGCTTGTGGGGTGAAAACGTAGCAGAAACACGTGACTGTCAGCACAGCTAATTGGCGAAGGTGTAATGGAATGACATTGTCGTGCTCAACACTGTTCGGGGATAAGGTTGGCGAAACATGATAGTTGTCCCACAGCGCTGGTACGTAAAGAAGTAAAAAATAAAAAGAAAGAAACAGTCACAACACAACTGAGCATAAACGAGTAAAGAAACCTATGACAGTCACAACACAACTGAGCATAAAGGAGTAAAGAAACTTGTGACAGTCACAACACAACTGAGCATAAAGGAGTAAAGAAACTTGTGACAGTCACAACACAACTGAGCATAAAGGAGTAAAGAAACTTGTGACAGTCACAACACAACTGAGCATAAAGGAGTAAAGAAACCTGTGACAGTCACAACACAAACTGAGCATAAAGGAGTAAAGAAACTTTGTGACAGTCACAACACAACTGAGCATAAAGGAGTAAAGAAACTTGTGACAGTCACAACACAACTGAGCATAAAGGAGTAAAGAAACCTGTGACAGTCACAACACAACTGAGCATAAAGGAGTAAAATAGTAAGTGTCGGTACATGGCTCGTTGGTAAAAGGAGCCAGAGAAACGTGCTAATTTTCTCGTAGTAAAATCGTATCAGAAGTCTGAGAAGTCCCGACATAGTTTATCGCCAGGACCGGATTTAGACTTGACAAGGCCTAATGCTATATAAAATACGATAATTGAACAGGAGCAACATAAACCAGGCACATTAACTCACGGATATTTCTAGGAAATCTCCAGCTGTAGTTAGAGTGTAGGGTGAATCGTTGACATAAACTACGGTGTCCGCAGTACCTGCAACGATCTTTAGATAATCCAGGCAGAGTCGTGATGAACATTTGTTCATGGTCTTAGTCTGTGGGTAGAGAAAGGTTCAGCCATTACACGTATTGTTTTCGTTGTTTTAGTGTACTGAAGATCATGGGGTTAATCATTTTAGAACTTTTTAGTCCAAGTCTTAGTCTTGAACTAAATTAATACAGAGCTTTCTTGTTGAAGTTTCAGACTAGGAAAGCACAATACACAATGCACAATAACCGGCATTCTTGTTCAAGTTTCAACGAAATTATTATAAATTTTCCTATCAATGTTTTAGTCTGTAGAAAAACATGCACAAACTTCTGTAGACAGAGATAGGCAAAAGCTGATAGCCATGGATAGATGGAAGAAGCCAAAGATAAAGATCCATGGACAACGAGATTCAGAGACCCAAAAAGACATTCGCGAGAAAAGAACAGTCAGTCACAAACAGGGATTCAGTTCTCTGTATGCCTAGTGGCACATAAGGCTTCAGATAGGACTTTCCATGCTTTCCTGTCTTGTGCAATCTTCACTGCAGTTTTTCCACTCAGTTCACTTTTCATCGTACTTCACCATGTTGGTTTTCGGCGCCCCTTTTTTCTCTTTCCCTCTGGTGTCCATGTGAGAGCTGTTTTGGCAGGTATATCAGGATTCATTCTCATAACGTTACCATCTTCTCTTGGTTTTCATACTGTCTAGAGTTTCTTAGTTTGTGACTTGAAGTAGTTTAGTGTTTGAGATCACAAACAGAGATAGACAGTTATAAAAACAGGGCAGGTATAGACACAAATGCGGCAGTTATTTACCAAGAGAGAAAACCCTGGACAGCTTTGACCGACTTTCTTGTTCGAGTTTCAGACTAGAAAAACAGAAACTAAAGTATGACAGCCTTTCCTGTCTAGGTTTCATTATGCAAATAATCGTGGACTAAACTATGATAGACATATTTTTCCATAGTCTGAGTCTACTGAATATATTCAATAACATTACACGAAACTATATCTAGTGTAGTCATTTCTGTTTAAGCTGACATAATAAACGATAAATGTATGTACTTTTTATGTTTATTTTACACTCACGAAAGAAACATTACATTATATCAGGTTATTAATGATAATTTACAAGATAAAAGGAACTTTAAATTGTATATAATTATTACTGCTTATTTAGACCTGACGTTAACAAGTTAACAAATCAAAGAATTTACCACTGGACTCGACTGGACTATAAAATAACGACCCCATGTTTCCACTGGTGGCAATTGCTCCACGAACCCGTTGGACATGTGCATTTTCTGAAACATGGTGTAGCGCCCGCCACTGAAGACAGCCACTGGTTTGCTGGCCAGAATGTGAGTACCTGGTGGATGGTAGGAGAACTTCTTTGTTGGCATCGGTTTGGCTTCAAACCAGGTTATAGATAAAAAAGGCAGTATCCGTAACAAGCGCATATCGCCCCCCCCCCCACCCCACCCCAACCCCCTTTTCCGACTGGACTACATGTTACAATAACTTAGCTAGATGGCTATACAGTTAAACGGAGTTTTGGGGATTTGAACCTGTTCGATTCTCGTCTTTGCGGTGTTAGTCTTACAGATGACAAATCTAAAGGGAGAAAACTGTTTAAACAGTCATATTTAGACTATTGCTTCTATCATTAGCGCTCTCGTAAATGTAAGCTGTGCTTACGATCGTCTGACGGATTTCGTTCCTCCGCTGAAGCATAGACATAAATATTGAATTATAAAGTCATTAGTCTATAAATACACATTAACGAGCTAGCAGGAAGCGAGAAAAGGATAACTAAAAGGGAAACGGGAAATTAAATCTGGTTAAGACAATGAGTAGTTCCCCACTGAACTACAAAAACAGGATACGTAAAAGAAAGGTAAGAGCTCTTTTGGTGCAGGAACCATGAAAAACTACTCACGGCCCAGGCAATGAATATGTTAATAGTGAGTTAAACAACAATAACAACATAATACCACATAGGCAGCACCTAAACAAATTACATGCACGAACTACAAGTCTTATTCTGAATTTTAAAAATGCAATATAATCATCACATCTGTTTACCTTACTGAATGCAAAACTAGCGTGCTTCGCAGATAACAATACATTAAAAGTCAACAACGTGTTCAAATATGGCGTAGGAGGAAATGAATGTTCCCGTTGACTGGCAGAGAGCAATTATAGTTACCATATGGAAGAAGAAAGGTGATAAACGAGATTGTGAAACCTACAGAGGTATCTCTTTACAAAGCCATGTAGGAAAGATGTTTGCAAAAATATTAGAACGAAGAGCGAGGGTGATATTAGAACCTCAATTAAGTAACAATCAGTTTGGATTTAGAAAAGGAAAGAGCTGCACTGATGCAATATTTACTCTTCGGCAAATTTGTGAACAGACAATCGAAATTAATAAACACCAGAATCTTATATTCATTGTGAAACCTACAGAGGTATCTCTTTACAAAGCCATGTAGGAAAGATGTTTGCAAAAATATTAGAACGAAGAGCGAGGGTGATATTAGAACCTCAATTAAGTAACAATCAGTTTGGATTTAGAAAAGGAAAGAGCTGCACTGATGCAATATTTACTCTTCGGCAAATTTGTGAACAGACAATCGAAATTAATAAACACCAGAATCTTATATTCATTGATCAAGAGAAGGCTTTCGACAAAGTTAACAGAAATAAACTATGGAACATTCTTGAAGGATATGGTGTACCGGATCAATTATTGGGAAACATAATGGTTCTCTATCAAAATAGCCAGAGCGCTGTAAGAACAACGGAAGGTATGACAGACTGGTTCCCCATTACATCAGGAGTACGACAAGGATGTGTCCTATCACCCCTACTCTTCATCACATATATGGATAAAATTGCACAGGAGTCAAGCCAAAACACAGATATTATAAATGAACTACTCTTTGCAGACGACCAATGTTTGTTACAAGAAGAAGAACAAAAACTACAACAACACGTTGATTCATTGCTCACTAACTGTAAAAAATTTGACATGAAAATAAACACCTCAAAAACTGAAGTAATGACCATAGGAAAGAAACACAGTAATGTAAACATAAAGATCAATGACATACAATTAGAACAAGTTCAAGAATTCAAGTACTTAGGATGCATATTTACAGAAGATGGAAGACTCGATAAAGAGATACAGGCTAGAGTTCAAAAAGCCAATGCAGTAAACTACCAACTGGCGCCACTTCTTCGTCATCCAAAGAAATCGTTACCAGCCAAACAAAGTATGATCAACAGCATTTTCATCCCTACGTTATGTTATCAGTGCCAAACGTGGACAACGAACAAATCACATATGCAAAAAATAACTACGTGTGAAATGCGATGTCTCCGAAGAGTCACCAACAATACACGAAGAGACAGAGTCACAAACGTCAGCATTAGAGACAAAGTTGGAACAAGAGCATGCATGAAACATATTGAAAGACAGAGAATGAAGTGATTTGGCCATTTAGTAAGAATGCAACCGGATCAGATTTCCTATAAGGCCTTTTACAGTAGAACATCGGCAAGAAAGGCCAGAGAAAGACCCAGGAAAAATGGATAGATGTAGCTGAATACGGCCAGAAAATCCAGAAAACTGTCACTCAAATCACGCGAGAGGCACAAAACAAATATTTTAAACCACGACACTGGGCTGCAACCCGGTAAAAGTGAAGAAGACAATAGATAGACAATAGAACGTGTTCAAACGGACGATGTACTAGTCACTTCAGCTAAAATGATTAGAATTCGCCTGCATTTTAAAGCGACTAACAGTCAAAATTCTCCGCACGATGATGTATATGGAAATCTAAATCCAACACAATCTATCTAAGGAACGTACTACCAAAAAATACGAAACATGTGAGATAATTCATCACTCAGCCCGCTGTACAATACGTTGCACTGAGAACTGTGTACGGTAGAACTACACGTCCCTAGGGCCAGACTAAAAAACAAAAGCGTTTTTTGCCCTGCAATGGGCTCTGTATAAACTTTTCGAGTTCCAATCTGCAAACCTGCCATTTTTCCGCCAAGTGCAGCGAAACCAGACTTATTATAAGAGGCTAACAACCTACTTCTCTAACCTGATATTTAATTTTATATATATGTATATTCTTTACGACAGCGCTTTAAATAAATTATAATATAATTGTAGATTTTTGTTGATGAAAACAATAGGACAAATCCCTGAACAGAAGCTCAAAAGAGTCTTCTGGGACACAATACAAGACACGGTTTTATTTCTAGCAGCACAGTATATATGCACATACATACCATAAAGTCTTGTGCATGAAACAGCAGATGTAAGGACTGGTACTGTGACACATACATACCCGTCAGGTCTCGCTCGTGAGACTACCGCTGTAAGGACTGGTACTGTGACACATACATACCCGTCAGGTCTCGCTCGTGAGACTACCGCTGTAAGGACTGGTACTGTTACACACATACATACCCGTCAGGTCTCTCTCGTGAGACTACCGCTGTAAGGACTGGTACTGTGACACACATACATACCTGTCAGGTCATGCTCGTGAGACTGTAAATGTAAGGACTGGTACTGTGACACACATACATACCTGTCAGGTCATGCTCGTGAGACTGCAGCTGTAAAGACTGGTACTGTGACACACATACATACATGTCAGGTCTCGCTCGTGAGACTGTAGCTGTAAAGACTGGTACTGTGACACACATACATACCTGTCAGGTCTCGCTCGTGAGACTGCAGCTGTAAGGACTGGTACTGTGACACACATACATACCCGTCAGGTTTCGCTCGTGAGACTGCAGCTATAAGAACTGATACTGTGACACACATACATACCCGTCATATTTCGCTCGTGAGACTACTGCTGTAAGGACCTATACTGTGACAAACATACATACCCGTCAGGTTTCGCTCGTGAGACTGCAGCTGTAAAGACTGGTACTGTGACACACATATATACCTGTCAGGTCTCGCTCGTGAGACTGCAGCTGTAAAGATTGGTACTGTGACAAACTCACAGCAATCACTTCTCCGTTCTTGTATTCTACGGAGTCGAACGTAAAGGGCGCAGCGCCATCTTGTAGCCTCACCCGTATCCGGACTTCAGTTATACCCACGTGATAGGCTGCTATCTGTGTGTGTGTGTCAAAATCAAAGAAATAATTGTGCGCCTGTCTAAATTTATACTGCATTTAAAAATGTACACTAGCTAAAGTGGTTCCAGTCAATATGGCTGGTAAGCAGGTTTAAAGACTTTAGTCGTGGCAAGTTTTTGCTTCTGGTAGTAGTTCCACAGGATAGAACTGAATAGAACACTAGATTAAGAGCAATGAGACGTATGCGTGTGATGATAATGATAGTGACGATGATTATGATAATGATGATGATGATATATGTGAACAATGGTGTGTTACTGAGGCCCTAGAGGAAATCTAAAAATAGTTTCACTGAGCCCTATCAGGTATGTCGTAAGAAGACAAAGGTAAAGTAGAGCTAAGGTTTACCTACCGTATCCTATATAAGACAACAGCTACAGACGCTAGCCAACAATGAACAACACTTGGTCAAGAGCGTATGATCCACTAAGGGATGAGGGACAGAAGACAGACAAGTTCCAATAGTTTTAGGTATTTGTGAACAACGACTACTACGACAAGGAAGTCACTGTGGTGTAGCGGCTAGATCTCTCCTGCGGATCGGAAGGTCGTGGGTTCGGGTTCTGACAGAACCGAGCTTTCTTCAAAAATAACCTGGCTTCGAGGTCAACTCAGCCCTGAGTGGCTAGCAGGAGTATTCCTGAAAATAAAGGCGGCCGGCTAGATATTGATCACATCACTTACCAAGTACCGATTGGTCAATAAAATATAAGTCTAGCCCTATATGCCCAATACGCCTGACGGCGTGGAAGATGGTCCTTTACTTACTACAACGACACCAACGACGACGCCAGCACGAATTTATATATATATAATGTTGGTAGTAGTGTGTGTGGTTTTAAATATATATATATATATATATATATATATATGTATATATTAGTTATATATATATATATATATATATATATATATTAAAAAAAACACACACACACACTACTACCAACATTTCTAAATAACTACAACTTTTGTTACAACTAACACCATAACCACCACCACTACTGCAGTTACAACTACTACAATCACTATCACTATTACTACTTCCTCGAGCACAACAATCACTACTGCAACTACCACCACCGCCACAACTACTACTGGTAATCTGGTAACCAGATTCATGGCAAACGGGTCACCCCATAGTTGCACCGCTCCTGTGCCAAAGAAAAACACACAAAATATTATCACAGGCACTTGTGGAAAGATTGACAGATTGCTGTCTCAGCATATGCACTAGCATACACACGCATTAAAGGCATACGGTT